GATTTTTATTACTGACAATAACGAACAATAATCTTTCCATTATGTTCAGGTCTAGACTTTCTATATTTTTTATCTTTTATACCTTGTGCCTTTTTTTTGAGTATCTTCCCACAGCAAAAGCGATTCAACTATTCGCACCTAAGAATAAAACTGATGATGGGGAATGGATTTGTCCACCGAGCACTTATTCTGAACTTAATGTGCACGCCACTACCTTGAGTCAATTGTCAGTAATCATTGAATTCGGAGGCATTTTATTTAACGTAGCCATTTATGGTGTGACGTCTAAGTTTGGCTATTCTTTGACCTGTTTGCTGGATGATTTATTTATTCTATCGTCATCTTTAATTCCTATGTTTGCATGGTATTTTACTGCAAAATTTGCATCACGATATCTTTATGCAGATCTTAAAATTGTTTATGGTTTGCTGATAGCATTTTTGATAATCACTCTTCTTCTGATTATTAGTTTTATTGTTTTTTTTAACCATAATCGTTTTTTAAAACACCCAAAATTTCTCCAATGCGTAAAAACTTTTATCCTTATCCTTTATCCGATACATTCTACTGTTATCATAATTTATGACATTTTTGATACAATCGCTAAGATAAAGAAATATGGTTATTTGGAGTCATTAGATATGGTTTTTCTAAGCCTTGCTACAGACTTGCTTTATTTTATAATGGTTATTATTCTAATTATAAACTATTTTATGAAACCACGTATCACATATAACCGGTTTCGTGTTAAAAAAAAAATTTTCTTTTTTATAATTTTTATTTCCATAATAGAATTACTTTTTGAATATAGTTATGTTTGTACACATCCTTACTTTGACACATTTTTTCTCTTTCTCCTTTCTACAGTCCTAACTCGCTCGGCTGTTTCATTCTTTTCCAATGAAGGAATAGTTAAAGTTAAGGACATTAGTAAATTTGGAACCAATAATGCTAAAATGGTTCCTGCTAAAGTGGTTCTTGCAGAGATTGATATTAATAATATTGATGAATTATTTGAAGATGGTTATTTTTACATTAAGAACATTAAGAATGAGAAAGGTCTTGAAAAATATAGGATTATAAATTCTAAAGCTTCAGATATACCTCGAGTTCGTCTAGTTAAAGAAACAAAGGATGACGCTACCACCGATTGGCTTTTGATAACCATTGGTGAAGATGTGTATCTTGTAAAACATAAAGAGAATATAGACGGTGAGATTCTTGAAATGATCCAAGATAAATTCTTAGCAAGTGAATCGTCACTTTTAAAAATAATATGCAATCACTATCACCAAAACGAAGATGAGTTCAATTACCAAAACGAAATTGACAAAATCAAAAAATTTGACAAAGAAACAAAAGTGTATGTTGACATTCTTCAAACAGGATTTCTTAATTACATTGTTTACTCCCATCGCTCTGATAAAGAAAAAATGTTCGATCACGTTCCTAATGGCAATAGTTCATCGAACGTTTAGAAAATTAAGACAATTAAAACTAAATTTTAAGCATCTTCATGTTGCAAATGGGCGATGGTTTCACTATTTCTTTTTTTTTATTCTATTTTATTTTAATTTATTGTTATATATATATATATTCATTTGCTATTTTAGTTTCTTCTTGATATAAATTATTATTAGTATTATTATTATTCTTAGTATTATTATTATTATTAGTATTATTATTATTATTAGTAGTATTATTAGTATTAGTATTTGAAAGTTCGATATAAAAGTCTAGTTGGTATTTGTTCAGTAACTTTCCAAAATCATAAGAAAAAAGTGATCATTACTTAAAGAGAATTTTTATTAGAGTCAACTAAGCGCTTGAGTGCTTAAAGGGAGTTAGAGATGAGTGTTGTGTATTGATTGTATCGAGATATTATATATGTAATACAAACCATAATTTCAGATGATTTACGTTCTAACGGTTCTTGAATGAATGAATAAGCCTTTCATACTGAACAAGGTAGCTGTGCGATGTTGTTATGCAAAATGAGAAACAGAATATTGTATTTAGTAAATGTATGTGTTGTTGCACTATTAGTCAATAAAATCAAACATATTTAGTTCTATATAAATCGCAGTGCAATTTTTTAAATTATAAGTAGATGCTCAACATAGCAAACGAAATAAGAAATTGGGAAATATGCTGCATGTAAGATTTAAAAGCGGACTTGAAATTAGGTTATGCCAACCTTAAAGGCAAAGATATAATGCCATGAACTTGTTACAATTCTAATAATTATAATAATTTATACATAATGATCAGTTGGTTTCTACACTGTAATGGGTAAAGGTCTGATCTATCGAATTGATGATTTTCTATTATAAGAATCTCTTTGCTTATGCAACTTTATTTATACAACTCTTAAATTAGAATGCAAATAACTTTTATGCTCACTAACTAAATGACTAAACTAATAAATCTTTATGAGTTTAATAGAAAGGCACTTGAGGTATACAAAGATAGTTATGATTTGAGAAGTTATATCCAATCCCAACTGCAAACACTTGAAATAACCTGCTGATGACTCAAATGACAAATTACTAGTCCCTGATCATTCCGAATTCCTAAATAATAATGGTCATTTAACATACATTAATTGATGTTTTAATACTTTTTAACCTATTAAAATTGGTTACAGGTTAAATGCAACTTTCTATTACTAGGTAAATGGAAGCCATTTAAGGTCAGAAGTCCTTTAAATTGCTTTTTATAGTTGATCATGGATCAGTCTAACAATGGATATTTTCGGAGAAAATGTTTGTTTTTATACCTATAATGTCCATTGGACAATAAAAAACAAATAATCGTAAAATTTAATATTTTTGCCTCAAGTAAAGCTTCAAAATTGCATATACTTCGAAAGTTTTGTGCAATTTGAATAACTTTTTATTAATTCGCTTTCAAATTTATGGAAGGTTAAGAATTTTTTTATTTAAATGCGAAACGCGAAAGTGAATTAATAAAAATTACATAAAACTTTTATAGTATATGCAATTTGTTATTTCGAACAACCTTACTTAAGATATACTGTAAATAACAAACTAGTTTAGTAAAATTTGTACTGTATTAGTGATGGTACCCGGGTTGGTATCACCCGGGTTATCCGCAGATAATCGGATATCCGGGTTATGAACTCAGCTACCC